TCCAAGAGACTTCTTCAGTCTGAGGAGTTAGAGGTAAACTCAGCAACAAGTTAATGATGGCAATCTGAACGGTTTTTATGTGAGCAAACAGTTCTGATTGCCATTGTTGGCTCTAAGTACTGTGTTTAAGCCTGAGTTTACCTGTAACCCCCCAGACTGAAGAAGTCTCGTGTAAAAGAGATGAAAAGTTATTTTTCAACAAGAACTACTCAACTTTTGTTAGATTAATATTGGGATGTTTTTGCACAGTTTTATTACTGAAACAAACAAAAAAAAAACAATGCTGTAAAAGATTTAAAAATTCTTTGTTTTTGTAGCAACGATTTTTCAGGTTATTCGTATTCTTCATACACCAGTGTCGCTCTTTTTCACCTACTGAGTACTCTCAACAAACCTGTGATGAAATCTTTTARATAATTACCACTAGTCAGAAGACATTGTATATAGAATTGTAGATTTTGTCTCTTATTATGAAGCAACAGCCACTGGATGATTAATACAGATTATCAAGACAGGAAGAAGTAGTCAAACTCCATTTAATGGTTTAAAAGTAYGTTTACTTTTTTTAATCCAAGACTTAAACGGGGGATGTTCTCATGGTATCACATCACCTCCTCATTTAACACGTTTAAGCCTTTGGAAATGGAGACTTCAGGTTTTTGTTTGTGAAAGGCTTCCCAGTTCTTATTCAGCTTCGAAAGTTCACATCTTTTGTTTTTCTATTGGAGCGAACCTTTTCAGTGGATTAAAACTGAACTCCAGGCAGACTTTCACCACAGTCACGCTGTGGTGCTTCCGTGCAGAATGTGGTTAGCATCGTCTTGATGAAATATACCAGGCTTTTTACCCAAAAATAGAAGCTGGAACCAGAACTTTAAACTGGCTGCAACAGCAAGGAGAAACTTCCTCATCATTCACATGGAGGGTGGGTCAGTTCATGAAAGAATTTCAGATTAGACAAAAATAGACAGTTTTGCTCAGTCGTCCCCCCAGGTCTCAGTGCTAAGCTGACTAAACCTTTTTATATTACATTTTTCATTATGTCAAATCTACAAAACAGATTTACCGTTGGCCAACTCGATCAATCGTACAGCACACAAAAAAGATTTCACAATAAACGGCTGATGTCAGCAGACCCAGACATATCACAACAAGTTTTAATACAAACAAACTGCCAGCTACCTCGGCTTTGGAAGTCCTTTTAAAACTCCACTAAAATATCAACGGGGATCGGTAAAAAGACTCCGTTTACATTATAAATTCACAGCACAACAGGGACCTGCCGTCGCATGAAGTCATCCCTCGTGCATAAAGTTTTATGAGGTTGTAAGTTTTTATTGGACCTGTGCAGTCTCCGGTCTTCAGCTTTAACTTTTAACCCCSTCCGGCCTTCTGGCATGTTTGTGTCTGGCTGCGAAGTGTCACACATGGTTGGTTTCTGTGTGAGGTTTACGTCACAGCATGCCAAACAACATGCTGMCAAACATGATGGTAGAAGTAAATCGCTTTCTTTGCTGATCTGGAGCACGAGGTTGCATTTAAACTGAAACTGTTGATTGGTTGTGCATGGAGCATTTGTTAGGGATGACTCTCAGCTACTACCACATCACATTTTAGCTCAATATCTATCTGATGGAAATGGTACCATGACTGGGGTCCATAAGGTCAACCACCATTTGAATGGAGTTGACTCCAAAAGTTAATTAGCTGATTAAATGATTGCATCATGAGTTTTATTACAACCCCCTCTGGTTTATGGGATATTTTGCTGACAGACTGACCAAAGCAAGAGTGCATCACTTCAATTTAAGGAAAAAAGAAAAGGTAATGAAAAATAGCTGCACAGGAATTTTTATTGACCTGCATACGTCTTTAGCCTCAGTGGATGAAGAAAGAAAAAAAAAAGACTTAACTGGTTCCAGATTTCAAGAGCAGCCCAGTTTTTCACAAGTCAGCATGTAACACACACACACACACACACACACACACACAGCCAACGCCCCAGACAATTTTGATTTCCTCTCCAGATGTCAAAATGCTGCTCATGAGCATAAAGTCACAATTTAAAATAACTTTAATTATCTGTTTTTTTCCGATTTAGCTACTTAAATAAAATAACATCTCTCTTTGTACTTTCCTTAAATTATAAATTTTCTCCTAACCTTGTTTAAAAGTCTATCCTGTGCAGAGCAAACAGGTCGGTTCTGTAGAACAGGAAGCTTTGGAGCTCCGGGAAACAGCGGCTCTGTTTAAAATGTCTTACCGAGATCCGAGTGAGGTCTGCGGGGCTGGACGAGCGGCAGGACGATTCACACCGACACCGACGCGCGACGTCGACCTCGGCGCTGCTGCAGCCCGAACGGCCAGGTTCGGATAGAGGGCTGCCGGCTCTGCCTTCAAAATAAAAGTACACGTCGCGCTGCTGCGAAGGAGAGGACTTTCAAAATAAAAGAAAATGTGACGCTTATTTAAAAAGTTACGGAAACTTATTAGGTGTAACATAAAATCAAGTTGCTAATGTTTTAAATAATTATCCTTAATTAATATGGCATATATTAATTTAATTGATAAATGTGATATTTTTATTCTACATAATTTTTCAGGTAATATAGCCTCCTCTAAAAATGTATTTTCTTTTATTTTAAGCAGACTTAAAATTATATATATATATATATACGTGTATATATAAATATTGTATATATATACATACTACAATTTATATTAAAAAATACAAGCACTAGAATTTCTAAAGCTACTTTAGTAAGATTAATGCTAAAAAGTCACTAAATTAAAATACCTAAACTCTTCAGTCTGATCTGACTGAATTATCAGTTTCAAGACGTCAGAATGAGACTAAGCATTTTCCACTTGACTCAGGCAGAAAATTTACATCCCTCAACATCTAAGACCTTAGACCTGTCAACTAATTTACCTATTAAAAACACAATAATATTTAATACTGTTTCAAATTGTTAGCAGATGGGTTCCTCAGACCATCTGCTCTTTGAGGAGCCCTAAGACAGATCCACCAAACATTGTTTAAGTTATCTGAAAGAACAGGCATTGAAAAGTCACAATAGTCTTTTTATTTTTTGTAGTACACTTGTAAGATGTCAAAGTGACAACACACAATTAATAACTTTAGGTTTTCGCTCCTCAGAACCCATCTGGGGTCGTTCCATCCATCCAGAAACCTTCACATATCAGCCAACCAAACATGGACTTTGCACAGTTTCCACAAACAGCAGAAACATGAAAAACAGTTCGACAGTTTTAGAAGTTATTTCCCACAAATACTCATTAAAGTATGGATTTATGGTTCAAGTAGATTTAAACCAGGACTGAAGCTGAGATGATGAATCTGCAGAAACTTAGACCTGTGATGCAATGAATAAACATTTTTGTTTTTAAAATTAACATTTGGAATTAGCCTTCAACATAGTTAACAAAACATTGAAAAAAAACTACAAAATGACATCAAAACCTGAATGAAGAGACGGAGATGATTCCATTAAACTGATATCCCAAAGAGGTCAGAACTGAACAGACAAGCTTGGTTTAATAAAAAGTGCACAATGCCATCAGTGTAAAAACTGGCTAAATCAGTACCTTTTTCCACGATTAAATTAAAATCATCACAAGTTCAACTAAAGATGCCCAGTTATCAAGAGAATGCTGATGACTGGCAACATAGTGTCATTTTCTGTATTCAATATACAACATTTTAGTATGAAGTCTTWCAGGCTCCATCATTTGATACATCAGTAGTAAAACGATGAGCATGTTGTGGCTAAAATATACTGTACATGGAGTATTTAAAAGGAAAAACATGCTACATCAAATAATAATAAAGAATCACCTTACTGCACCTTCAGCAAATCAAAAATCTGCAGGATGTCATTGAGTTCCTGACTAGGCACTTTAGTTCAAAACAGTCCATTCGGCCCTGCTTTATCTTTGATATCACAACCTCAAAGACATGGCAGTTACTTTTTGTCTTTTAAGAATAAATTTTAAACCCTATGTAAGCAGGAAACCCAGAAGCATTAGCCCTATGGACAATATGATTCGATTCCTTTTGTCTCRGCCCAAATCTGTTGGAAAACTAACAACAGATTTGGCCAGTTGAGCCACAGACACTTCACACACAAGAAAAAAAACACACACAGGGAAGATCTAGTTGCCAAACATAAAGTAAAAACAYGCTACAGTATAGAGAGGAGATGTCCTCTGGAATAAATATCAATCTCCTTCAAGAGGTCCTCACCGCAAAATGTACCTTTAAGAAAAGTGGTATTGCCGTTTAAAAAAAAACTTTTTTAAAACTAAAAAGATTGTAAAAGTGAGTGTTCACCACTTGGCAGTCACAGTACAACACAATAAATAATAATAAATTAATCAAACTGATTGTTATATAAATAAATTATTTTTGAAGTGAAAAACTGATCATAAATCAAAGAGACAGACTGTGCTTGTACTTATATATGAATCAGTGCAGAGACTTCTGTTCACTCCTGTGAACGCAACATGGTCTAAAAATGTTCCTTTTCTCTGATCGCTCATAAACACTTTGAGTTTAAAAGATCTGAATGTGGACAAAGAGTAGAATAAGTTTAAGATCGAGTCGAATCGAACGTTTCCTGTGAACTTGTTGGTGAGATTAGTCACCCAAACTCAGCAGAAGTAGATGGCCTTCAGCAGTTTTATGAGCAACACCACAAGGGGATCTTGTCAGCTTGAAGAACTTGGAGAAAGCTGGAGGAACACAACCTAACATCAGTAGAAACTTCACCACTGACAAGACAACTGCATAAATTCTAGAGGCTGCTTCACAGATGTGGACTTTTAGAGAACACTGGCTTCTATCCACAGCAGTACAAATGAAAAAGCTCTTATGACAGCCACATAGATTTTAGTTTCCAAATCGTAGCCGCCTGGGCTTTTTATGTTTCTAAATACCACTAAAAGTACCTAAACTTAGTGTTGTGTAGAGAAACATTCAACTACAATGAGTTGGTTCAATCATGGCTCAAGTTTGTAAAAGCTGAAACAGTTAGACAAAGTTGTGATCAAGCCAACACCAAACTTTTACAACACTCAGACCACAGAAGTAGTTTCTCATTTGATTGAAAACTAAATCTTTTTTCTTTTACGGGTAAATTTACATCATTTCTTAATTTAGAAGCAGAAACAACAAACCGCATCTGAGTGGTGCAAACATCCCTACAGTCTGTGCCTGTGCGGTTCAGAGCGGGGTGGGGAGGGCGGAGGCGGGAGGGTGACGGTGGTGGGGGGTTCCGCAGGGTCGTCCATGGGCAGAACGAGGCGCGTGCCGCGGATCGCCACGTCGTGCTCGGCCAGGCTGAGCTCGTGGCCCAGGCTCTCATTGAACGAGCCTCCCCCGGCGCTGGCTGTGGGGCGTTTGGGGTTGACGGTGCGGGAGCCGGACTCGTCGGTGCTGACGGTGACGTCGGCGTACATGGAGCTCACGCTGGCGTCGTTCAGAATGAACTCGGTGTCGTCGTGAAGCCGCTCTTCATTCTGGTGAGTGGCAAAGCAAACAGAAAGAAGGGTGTGGAAATTAAAAGAAACTTAAAAGAAAAAAAAACATAAAACCAGCCCCAGTGTCACACTCAGGTCCTGTTCAAACTTGGCACCAACAATAACTGGGTGATTTGATTGCAGGAGGACATCTCTGATTGACAGAATTCACACCTAGCAATAAAATCCATACCCTACTTCACATATGGGGGGCAATAATATAGGCAGAAGCATGGGTGTGCTCTGGACTCCCCAGTTTTTCCTATTGTTGCAAATCAATACATGGAGGAGGTGGAAAAGAGWGCTTTGACATCCTTCTCAGAGACACCACTGAGCCATTGGTTCAGGTATGTTAACGACACCTGGGTTAAAAATTAAATCCCAGGAAGTCCAACATTTCACTGATCACATCAGCTCTGTGGATAAATTTATAAAGCTCACATGAAAAGATGTAAAAAAATGGCAGGTTGGCGTTCTTCAACTGTGATGTCTCAGTCTCTGATGGAGGACGGTTGGAAACTGATGTGTATCACAAACCCACCCACACAGACCAGTATTTGCTGTTTGACTCCCATCACCCAAACCATGTCAAAACCCAAAACACATTACGGCAAAGACTGGTTCACCCCAAAGATCTAGTTCCCCGGCACAGAGTAATATAGTACATGCTGTTAAGTGTCAGGAGGACTGTGATCAGTCATACAATGGGGAAACAAAACAGCCACTGTTCAAAATGATGAGCCAGCACAGACGAGCTACATCATCAGGTCAGGACTCTGCAGTTTACACTCATCTACAGGCCAGGATTCTGTAGTTTACACTCATCTACAGGCCAGGATTCTGTGGTTTACACTCATCTACAGGCCAGGACTCTGCAGTTTACACTCATTTACAGGCCAGCGGTCACTCTTTCAGGGGTGAAGATGTTATCTTTGATAGAGAGGAACATTGGTTTGAGAGAGGAGTAAAGGAAGCCATCTTTGTGAAGAAAAACCATCCACCATTAAATAAAGGTGGAGGCCTTCGTGTCCAGTTGTCCTCCTCCTACAATGCTGTTATTGCAACATGACCCTCTATGAACCGTAGAGCTAATGAAGCCTATTGTTAGGCGATGTTCCTCTTTTGCATGTGACCAACCTGTTTGTCCACTATGTGGAGGTGGAGCTTATAAGGCTGAGTTCACCTGAAACTCCTCAGACTGAAGAAGTCTCTTGGAGAGAACTCGTTCAGAGGACCTACTCAACATTTTTTTTTTTACAATTTTCTGATCTGATGTCAGTTAGCTCTCTGTATGCAGACACACAGTGGGTTGTCAAAAGACATCTGAGCTGCATTACTATTTTTACAATACCAGAGTTTAGAGCCATTTGAGTCGTAGTTCAGTGACACACAAATACTTAACAAGAATTAAGTCCAACCCAGTGATGAGTGAATTCAATAATTCAATYTGTTGTCCAAACCTCATAAGCCTGTGGACTGGTGAGACACCGTGCCAGTGGTCCACAACAAGCTGGCAGAGTAGCAGTGAGAGGAGGACCACTGTGGGTCAGGAGTGGTTTCAGGTAGCTGGTCAAAGAGTTTCTGTCAAGGACTTAACAGTTACAGCAAACTTTCTTTCAATTAAATAATCTGATTAACCATTCGTCCATTTCTTTTACCCGCTTTTCCATTCAGGTTTGCAGGCAGCTGTTCCCTATCTCCAGTTGTCACTTTGTTAGAGAACATGTCACAAGTCTATCGCAGAGCCAAAAACACACTTTTATATCTGATTAAAAAGCCATTTTAGTGAAAATAATAAAATATCAAGTAAATATCAATACTTAGCACAAAAAAGTAAGAAAATTTGTGTTTAGTAGATTATTTTTTTTGTTGTAAGAATGCTTCTTGACAATAAATCTTATAGCGGGCATCTGATTGGCAGCACCTGAAGGTACCAGAAGCTCAAAGCAAATGTCAATAACAACAACAAAATAAGCTGTCTGGCAGAAATTTGGCAAATTTTTATGTGCACAACTCACATACTCAGCTCTAATGGTCATCCCACAAATGCATGTTCCTTACAAATGTGGCACCATTTAAAAGGGGAAATGTAAGAAGTATTGTTACAACAAAAAAATAATCTACCAAACACAAATTATCTTGCATTTTCTAAGTTTAGTATAAATACGTGGAACTGGTCCTTGACGTTTGTTCAGAGCACCCTCTGGTGTTCAGACTGGACTCACCACCTACAGTTCRGTTGACATTAAGCTTAAAGGATACTTGTGGTCAAAGTTGTACCAAATTCTGAAGGGCCAGGCGCTTTCTTGTTTGGTGCTTCTCCTCTGTGACCCATCCAACACAGCAGAACTCTGCAGGAAAGTGTCATTTAATTACTGGTACCTTGTGTTTTTTTTAGTATGACTACATAAATAATGTAAATAAAAAAAAAGACAGGATCAAACAAAGCAGGGATTTAATTATACTAATGACTTACAAAGTTTTCTTGATCAGAGTCCACACCCACTCTGAGGGGAAAAGGGAAGTTACCTTGAGGCAATGAACTATAATCAGAAAGAAAATTACCTACAAACAGATGCTAGGTCTTACGGTATGCTCATGAAAGACAGCATGGGAGTGGTGCCACCTCCACAGATCCACACGGTGAAGAAAACAATCAGGAGGGTGGTTGTAAACATCATTTGACGTGCGTAAGTAGCTGTGTCCCGGATGGACAGGGCAAAGGTCATTGCCCCTCGCAGACCTGGATGAGACGGCGTGACAATGAGTCTATTCATGTTAATTGTATTACTTATGTTGTGGGGACAGAAACTTGCAAACAAAATCAAGTTTTGAAGACCTGCATCCACACTGAGGACAAGTGGCAGAGCAGTTATTTCATTGTTGATGTGGGCTCAGTGTGTGAAGTTTGTTTCTTACTCTCTGATTGGCAGAACGCAATATACAACAATAGAAGTGTGCAGTGGTGGGCAGCGCTAATCCAAAAATTAAATCCGCAATTTCTAAAGCGCTTATGAAAATATTTAGGTCCGCATCTTCAAAAGCGATTATGCCATAGAAATACTAGCGGAAGCTAATTTTAAAGCACAACTTCAATCTGACACTTACTAGCTGACAATTCATGTACAATATATGCACAACACTGCCAACTAGTGGTGTATGAAYYCTTTTACAGCTTAATTCTACAACCACCGATTGCTGAGGATGTGATTTCCAGAAACAGACCTTTGGCTCCTGGTGTAAAGATTAAAAAGTTGTTGAGGATTGCTAGTTCAGCTGCTTCTTTGTCTTTTTCTTTTGTTTGTTGTAGATTTTTCATTAAAGTAGCATCAATAAAGTAATTTTCAAATTGTTTATTGGAAAACTGAAGCGATGCATTCTGGGTACATGACGGATTTGATTTGTGACGGGAAACGAAAGCACGGAGTACAGGAAACTATCTTCCCTTCAAAATAAGAGCTTGGATTTTAAAGTTTTCCATGTAGTTGCTTCAGTTGACCACTAGATGTCTGTCTTCATCAGCATAACATCTTTAAATCATTTCTGAGTCTATAACCCGTTGCTTCGATGAATTACGTCAAGTATTGAGCTCCAGCGTTTAAACTTTATTTTTAAAAAAAGGAGCTCTGATTGTAAAGTAAAATAAATCAATACATACAAAATTTTRGTATGGATTACAAACATTAACTGTTTTTGCTATTGCCTTCCTGCTACGTAAGCAGACACAAAGCATTGTGGGAAATCAGAACCCTGACCGAAAACAACAGTCAGCAAGGCAATAAGAGTGTTTATCTGGGAGGGGTGCTGTTGACAGATCACATGTGTTGTGATTCATTGACAGCCATACCTTCCACTGTTCAAGATAATAATGTCTGGTAGATAATTAGTTTTTAGCTGTACTGCATTTTAATTTTAGAAAGCGCAAATCCGCTTATGAATTATAAAAATTAGTAAGACCGCTAAAGCGCAAACAAAATATTTAGATCCACAATTAGTGGATTTGCGCTTTAACGGGCTGGTGCCCACCACTGGAAGTGTGTTTAGTTTTCAAGTTTAAACACATTTTGGTTAGATCGGATTAATTAAAGGCAATGAACTGTGGGCTGGAAGTTTCTAGTCACAATCAGCAATAAGCTCATCAGAGTCTGTTTCAACAGTAAATACTGGGTGATGTAGGCGCTGTTATTTATAGCAAATCTGATTCTTGCATGTGTTAAAGATAGTGCAACTTATCTGGGCAATTTCTTTTTTTTTAGTCCACATTAGAAACTACTCAGTACTTCCTTGGTATTTTTAAAAAGGACAGAATGTATGGACTAATGGTATGCTCAGTTTAGTTGGCAGACAGAAAAGCTGAAAACTCCTCACTGCTTACCTGCAAACATCATGACGTGTTGAAAGTTTGATCCGATCTTGTTTCTGCGGCCCAGGTTGAGAAGAAAGGACAAGGGGTAGATRTTTGCAGCTCTGCCAAGAAACACCGCCACCTACACAATGGTGTCAAGGATGCAATCTACAGAAACGATGACAGGAAGGGAAGGTGGTGGTTTGGAAACTCCAACTCAGCGTCAACTAATCTGCTTTTGAAATCTGCTCTCCAGTTTTGTTTGTTTGCATTGTTGCTGACTTAAGCAGGTAACAAAACGTTAGTAGCAAAACTCTGCTTTTTTTTAATCTTAAAACTATCTCAAGACTCCAGGCATCATTACCAAACACTGACTTTCATAACCTTACTGTGATGGAGTTAAGTTCTTGAGGTTTCAGAAGGTCCAAAATTCTGCTGCTGGAGTTTTACTCTACACCTAACCTGACTCCAAACTTTCATCGGCCAATTAGGCACAAATTCGTGACAAAAATCTTGTTCTCTAAACTAATCTATAGCTTTGCTCCTCAGTACCTCTCTGACCTCTTTCACCCTTATTTTCCACCCAGGAGCCTCAGATCTTCTGATGGTAGACTTCTCCTGTCCTCACACCAGAATGTTAACTTTAACTTTAATAACAAAGGCAAACAATTGTTTTGGTCATTGTAATTAAAAATGAAAATTCTTTCAAGAGCCCACCTTGACGTTTCAAGACCAACCCAACCTTAACTTTAGGAACCACTGCTCAGTTTGCAGAGTTTTTGCAGAGAAACGTTACTTATTTTACTAAAGTATACAATCAGACCTCAGTGTTCGAAGTGAAAATATTTTCTGCTCCTGTTTCAGTTTTATGCCACAAATCACCAGAGAAGCCTGGGTTTGTTTGTGCGAAAGGATACAAAAGCACCAATGATGAACAGCGGGTTGAAGACATGTGACTGGAAGGAGAAGAGAGTCAGACCCATGTAGGAGAAGATGAAGTTCTCTGCCAGGAAGTTCAGCAGCTCAAACAACTGTTGGAGAGACAAGAAATCTGTCAACAACCAGGTCTGTGTGCTAATTCCACTGGAGCTGCCATAAAAACCTTTTCCTCCAGCATAAAAAATGATTTTCCACCTGACCGATTGAAGAGTTGTGCTTTTCAGTCACATCAAATACACTCATGATCAAAATCTTAAGACCAGTCAAAAAAGTGCAAGAATTTGTGTTTTGCACTATTGGATCTTAAGAAGGTTCTCAGTAGAGCTTCACAATGTTAAAAGAAGAAATCAGTGCAAGAGACAAGAACTTTTGAGCAGGGAATTTTCTGAAAACTGCATTTACACTCAAACATGATTTTTTCAGTTGATCAAAAGTTTAAGACCATAGCTCAAAAAAAAACCCAGAAAACCCCCCAAAACGGAAATCAAACTGTCTAAAAAAGGACTCAGTAATGAGGAGCTCCACCATTCTTGTTGATGACTTCAAACAATGGTTTAGGCATGTTTGATGCCAGTGTTCCCAGGAGGCTAGTGGGAACGTTGCTCCAAGTGTTGAAGATGGCTTCACGAAGGGCATCCACTGTCTGGAACTGATGTCCATTTTTGTAAACTTCCCTTGCCATCCATCCCCAAATGTTCTCAGTTGGGTTTAGATCTGGGGAGCATGCAGGATGGTCCAAAAGAGTGATGTTATTTTCTTGGAAGAACTCCTTTGTCAGGCGGGCATTGTGAACTGCAGCATTGTCCTGTTGAAAAACCCAATCATTACCAMACAGACGAGGGCCCTCAGTCATGATGGATGCCCGCTGCAACATCTCCACATAGCCTGCTGTTTGACACCCCTGCACAACCTGAAGCTCCATTGTTCCATTGAAGGAAAACGCACCCCAAATCATGATGGCGCCCCACCACTGTGCCGTGTAGAAAACATCTCAGGTGGGATCTCCTTGTCATGCCAGTAACGTTGGAAGCCATCAGGACCATCAAGGTTAAATTTGTTCTCATCAGAGAAGACAACTTTCTTCCACCTTTCAATGTCCCATATTTGGTGCACCCTTGCAAAGACAAAACGGGCAATTTTGTGGCATTGAAGACGTTTTTTGTTTCTGAAGCCCTTCTCTCACAGATGCCGTCTGATGGTTATTGGGCTGCAGTCAGCACCAGTAATGGCCTTAATTTGGGTAGAGGATCGTCCCGTGTCTTGACGGACAGCCAATCGGATCCTGCGGCTCAGAGCTAGTGAAATTTTTTTGGGTCTACCACTTGACTTTTTTGTTCCATAACCCTCAGGATCATTTAAAAAATGCAAAATGACTGTCTTACTGCGTCCAACTTCAGCAGCGATGGCACGTTGTGAGAGGCCTTGCTTATGCAGCTCAACAATCCTACCACGTTCAAAGTCAGTGAGCTTTTTTTACTTTTGCCATCAGGAGGTCTTGACAGTGTAAAGACTTGACAGAAAATGACATGGAATCCAGATTTTTGCACAGCTTTTGGCTTTTAAAGACCATGGTCTTAAACTTTTGATCAGCTGAAAGAATCATGTTTGTGTGTAAATGCAGTTTTCAGAAAATTCCCTGCTCAAAAGTTCTTGTCTCTTGCACTGATTTCTTCBTTTAACATTGTGAAGCTCTACTTAGAACCTTCTTAAGATCCAATAGTGCAAAATGCAAATTCTTGCACTTTTTTGACTKKTCTTAAGATTTTGATCAGGAGTGTATTCTTGATTTCCCACAACCATACAAACAGAACACTAATGCATTTAATGTGTATTCTTTAGAGGCTCATATTCTCTCAGTTTACTCAACAAACTGACATTGAAACCTTGGAAGAGTCCATTTCTCTTACACACTCCCAAATCGTTAACTCCCTGAGCATATTCATTTCTTGTAGAAAATTGAACCATGTTTTTTTGCATTTCTGTTGTTACTTTAAACATTACAAACAGTGCTGTGACAACCTCCTGCACATCTTGCTGTTTCGTGAAATGATAAGCTACTGCTGTGCTCACTAAGAGGTTTTTTTTAGCCCATCTGTACTTTCTTCGTGGTAGCGCTTCATTGTCGTTTGAGGTTTGYTGAACATGTAGCCTTTAGGTTTATCAATTCTCAAGACATAATCTTGTAGATTTCTCTGAATTCGCTGGAGCACGGCAAAAATTAAAAACCACATCCTATTTGCTTCTGAGACAGGTCTCTACTGTATGAGTTTATTTTGTGACTATGAACATTAAATCGTGACTTAGTTTCTAAATGTAATCTGCTGTGCGGATCTGGAAAAGATGATAAATTGTTGTGATGTACAGTGGCGTCAGAACAGTGAGATCCAGAACAAAGCAGAGGTGATGGTACCTCACCTGTTTGGTCCGGTCCTGGGATTCAGGAGACAGATTGTTGTAGGTGTAATGGGCCTGAGTGATCCCACAGAACAGCACTGCTACCACACCTGAAAAAATTTTATTAAATAAACCACAGAGTTAACTCATCCATAAAAAATAGTGTTATATTTGCTTCTAATGGCAGGAGCAGATGGCGGGGAGTGTCATAAAAAACAGCAATTATTTGCTGTTTTAATCTAATATCTGTCCATCGGCCACACTGCTATGAGGAGGATCTTGGGATTTGCAAAAAGATAAAGAGTGATGCTTTGTTTTCAGTGTGATATGTGGAAAACCATCACATTTAACCGAAATTTCACCTTCACCCTGTGATAAACCAGTTTTTCTGAGTGGCTGAATCACGTGGGTGTTTCAAGGAAATCCTTGGAAAACATTTCCAAGTAAAACAAATCAAACTAAAGCGGTAACAGTGAAACACCAAGACTAACTCTCTGCTGTTGAAACGACTTGTATACATCTTGGCTGCAGACGTACCTGTGAAGCCGCAGGCCTCGGCCAGCAGAAACGTGCTCCAGGACATCAGGAAGAAGAGAGCCGTCTCCAGCAAAGGGAAGTCCCTCAGCTTGGTAAACTTGGTCACGTGAGGACAACTTAAAGCTAAGGAACATAACAGGAGGTATATAGATTCATAAAGGCAATGTTGCATCTAATACTTCAGCCCAAAATGGGTAAATAATATAGAATTGTCACATAAAAGGATATGAGGGCAGTCAAGACTCCGGTAACCACCCCAAGAGCAAAAGACCCACTGAAGACGCCCAGAAAGACGCCGAAGGATTTCAGCACGGCCATGGCCTCAAAGCTGTGGCTGTTGTCCCCTGCAGGCTGATACGCCACGATGGAGCTGAAGGGTAGGTAGGGTAAATAGTAACATTTACAAAGAAACCAGAGGCAGATTTTTGCTAAGAATACAGGAAGTGGTCAAATGTCAAACACATGCTGTCATAAAGTTGGAAACAAAAACATTGCCAGGCATCAAGTCATACCTGAAATGCAGTGAATAAAAAGAAATAAGGATTTGCATGCTGGAGTCTTAACCTCTCAACCACACCTGGTTTAGCTAATTACACTGCATTGCATAAGCTATAACAGATAATGCAGAACGTTCTGGTCATATGTGCAGTCTATAAGCAAAAGGGATGTCGTTGCAAAGGGATCACAGCAGATAATTATCCTAAAGTTGATTTAAGGCTACATTCTAAATTAAAACTCTGCATCACATTTACAAGCAGGGTCTAACACAAGCAAATCCACGCTGTCCAGCCAAACCCACCCACCGGGGAGTAAAGGTCTGGTTTTCACTCAGCCCCTCCTCAGACACCACTGAGTGAACAGCTGCGGAGCTCCGACCGCTCTGCTTTTCAAAGCGGAGGAGAACGCTACATACGTACGTACGGGCAGGTGGAGAGTGACACGGATGGATGGAGAGAGGCGAGCAGTGAAATGACAGGGATGGATGTTAGTGTGGGTTATTTCCACGTGCAGCGAACAACACAAAGAGCTGACTTTCACACGGGAACTGAGTGGAAAACTTTCTTAAGCACAACAATAACAGTCTGTTAAATTTAACTTGAAACTGCAGCTTAAAAACAATGAAATGCAGAAATTCTACTGCTTCTCATAGCTAAAAACTTACACATTTTATAACATATTTTAACCGAATAAGCTAAGAATTACAAACACAAGCTGCTTGAAATGATAGAAATATAATATCTGCGTTAAATCTTTCATAGTTATCATACACAAGGAAAGAAGTGCTGTTTCAAGAACAAAATGAAAGCTTGTTTTTTAAAAGAGTTTACTTTACTGTGAAGATGACAGATGTGTATTTCTGCAGAGTGAGGTGTTTTTAATACTTACGAGGAGAGGACRATGGCCACAGCATCATTCAGAACGCTCTCCCCAAACAGTAATGCGTACAGGTCAACATCTACTTTTAGCTCATTGAAGATAGCCAATACGGTCACTGAGAAAACCACAAAAGACAAAAAAAATTCAATTCAATTCAAAAAATGTATTCATTTCATTAAAAAATACTATACACAATAATAAAA